TCTGTGTCCATCTTCCTCTCTTTTGTATGTGGGACAAAGCCACAGTGTGGCTTGATGTGCGGTGCGTAGGTCTGCGCCTGGGATCCGAACCTGCGAACCCCGTGCCACCGAAGTGGAGCGTGTGAACTTAACCACTACACCACTGGGCCAGCCCCCCTCCTATATTTCTTAAGAGAACAGTAAAAGGCAATCATTCAGACTCTCAAGCTCAAAGACTGGCAGTCAGCCTAGACTCCTTGCTGTTCCTTATCTCTCACCTCCTATTGCTTCTTCTTCAGAATTGTCTCATATTTTTAACTACAGTGCCCTGATTTCATCTGTTCACCTCTTTGCGGAATAATTGCTTCAATGCAAAGGCTCTTGGCTTTGGAGTCTGACACATCTAATTTTGAATCCTGACTTGCCTACTTACTAGCTGTATGACCTTTGGCAGGTTACTTAACTTCTCTAAGCCTCAGGGTTATAAAGAGACACAGTATCTAGCTCATGGGGTTATTTTGAAAATTAAATAAATGATACATTTAAATTACTATACATACTCTCTGGTCCGTAGTAATAACTCCGTAAATGTTCACTCGTTATTGTTTTTATTATTGCTTCTTATGGTTGTTGTGAAGATGAGGACAAGTCTATAAAGACCTATCAGTGTTTGACATATTGTAATCACTGAGTAAATGATATCATATTCTTTCCTTGTGACCTCCAGTTCTGTACTCCAGTCTCCTTCAAAATACACCAGAGTTATCTTTCTTAAAAAAAAGTTCCCATTATTTTCCTGCTTTTAGCTCTCCATTGCTCAGAGGAGTAAGTCTGCACTTAGTCTGGCAGTCCCTGTCTTTCCCAGTCCTGCCCTGTCCTCCCTCTGCAAACTCACTTCCCACCTTTCTTCCTCCTCAGTCACATGATGCTTCTCTCTCACCACTCGGAGTATACCGCACCCTTTTATGATCTAGACCTTGGACCTGCTGTTCTGTCTGCTTAGATCTCTTCCCTACTCTTCATCCATTTATCTATTAAGGTCATGCCCTCCATGAAGCCCGCTTCCCCACATCCTCCGGTGAGAGTCGATGGCTTCTTTGTCTATACCCTGCTGTACTTGTGTGTAACTTTGTTCTAATATTTACCGAGTTGTAATTTACCTGCTTGTATGTTTGCTTCCTCCATTTGACAACATGTTCCTAAGGGGAGGACTTAAGTTCTGATTATTGTCACAGCTCAGTGCCTGGCATGGTATGATGCTTGGCATTTGGTAATCATTCAGTGAATGATGAATAAAGAGCCCTGGAGTTAGTTCCAAAGAGAACTTCCAGAAATGTTATCAGTTATTGGTACTATTAGAATTAGGGCATAGCCTCCTAAGTTATCTCTTTTAAAAGGGCAGCATCGATGTGAATGTTTAATATCTGATATGTTTGTAAAGAAGTCTTTCTAGCTTATTTGTAGACACCTGGAGGGAAAAGCAACCAAGCTTCGTTACACCGCTCCTTGGGATGAAATATCTGACATCCCTATAATTGGATATGGGTCCCATCTGTGCAGAGAGCATGGCACAGGCTGGAGGCAGATGGCATTTTTGAGATGTCATTTGCAGTTGTTGTAGTGAATGGGGAAGAAGGAAGGACAAGAAAGGAAACTTTCATGTCTGTGTCTCCTTTCTAATCTCTGCTTGGGTGGCAAAGGGGCCCCGAGTGAGAAGGAAATTTGCTTTACTGGCAACTCAGAGAGAAGGTGTGGATGTTCTCTTTCCTTCTGGACCAGGTGGTGAGTTGGTATCAGAGGGATGTGTGCATGAGCAGAGGAGTCCAGAGCTCTAGGGTGTTGAAGGGCAGCAGAGAGAGAAGGGGCCAGGAATATTTGGGGCTTGTTCAAGCTGATAAAAGACTGGTACCAGCATCATCTTTATGCTACGCAAGGGGGTGAATGGTTAGGATCTTTGCATCTCTTAGGGTACCCATGTCCACAGCTAGAGTATTTCTTTGATTTCAAATTATCTGTGCTCTGGGAAGAAGTATTGATGTAGAGACCCAGGGATGTTTTAGACAGTCATAGGTGATCCTCTGGTGTCTCTCCAGGAGTTTGCCTCTTTTCTTCTCTCTGCCTCCATTTATTCCCATATACTGATAGCTGACCTGGGCTTACCCAAGACCAGGTAATGTGGGACATAGAATCTCGGAAATGCTGCTGATGAGGTGCTTTTGTAAAGACATAAACTCTTCTGTGGGCAAAGAGATCAGTAGACCAGGGTCTTTCTAAAGGTGACATTGGCTCTGAGTACCAGAGAAATGAGTTGACCCTACAAGGGCCTAAGGTGCAGGATCCCTTTTCCACTTGGAGGCTGAGCAGAGATTTACTAGAAGAGAAGGACAGGAGCTGAGTTGAGGAGAGCCATTTTGAGATGGAGAATTATCTTTCTCACCCTTTTTTTTTTTGTGTGTGTGTGTGTGTGAGGAAGATCGGCCCTGAGCTAACATCTGCCAATCCCCCTCTTTCTCCTGAGGAAGACTGGCCCTGGGCTAACATCCATGCCCATCTTCCTCCACTTTATGTGGGACGCCGCCACAGCATGGCTTGACAAGCGGTGCCTCGGTGCGCACCGGGATCTGAACCTTAACAGCTTGCGCCACCAGGCCGGCCCCCTTTCTCACCCTTCTTGATGGGAGTCTTACCTTGGGTTTCCCAGAAAACAGAGCCTGAGGCAGAGGGCTTATATTTATCACACAATAGGGAATGATATCCCAGGGAGCAGGAGTGAGGGCTAAGGTGAGTAAAGCAGGGAGGAAGGAGAGCCGATAGAAGACGCCTTGTTGCACTGGGTCCACTAAGTGCAGATGATCGCTCCTTCTGTGCAACAGTGCCCTGGGAGGGCTTTGTAGGACTGCCCTTCAGGGGGAAGAAGGATGGGGGAAGATTTACCCACTATCTCCTGTCCCCTTGAGGTGTTAATCCCCCTGCACTTCCAGATTGCATGTGCTTAGGTGTAGGTGCCCCAGCAGGAAAGCCCCAGAAGGGGAGATAAGACACAGTCATGTTGTCAAAGCCCATGTCAGGCTGGAACAAGGCACAGGTGAGGCTGAGAGGTTCTAAAGAATCCATAAGGGATGTCTGATTCAGTGGGAAAGTGGAATATTCCCGTTTGGTGAAATGAGGATTCTCTCCTTTAGGGATGATAGTATGGGAGCTTCTATCTGCGGGGAATTTTATTCTTTTTGATGCTATTGTAAATGAAATTGTTTTCTTAATTTCATTTTTGCATTGTTCCTTGCTAGTATACAGAAATACAACTGATTTTTGTACATTCACCTTGTATCCTACAACCTGGCTGAACTCCTTTCTTAGCTCTAATAGTTTTTATTTTTGTAAATTCCTTAAGATTTTTTATAGACAAGATTATGTCGTCTGGAAATAGAGATCGTTTTACATACCTGCAGGGAATTTTAATTTGATTTTAAGTAGATAAAAAGCTAGAGCCTTGCCCTCTTCCCATCTGAACAACTTCCTAGGTGCTTAACTGGGTCCAGTGGAAACTGTGTTACCTCAGGGAGCCAAGACCCTAATACGGTTTCCCATGTTGACAAATTCATTACATGAAAGACATGCAGCATATTTAAAAGAAGCAGAACACTCGAAGAAATCAGTGGCTTCCTGATAGATCAAGATTAAATAGCTTCAGTTAAAGGAATCCCAGAAGTATCCAGGGACCTTGTGGAGAATTTATTTAGTTTACCCCAGGCTGCTCCTGAGGAATGATCCTGTGTGGTGATGCGTGTCATGTCCCTCTTGGGAACAGCAATCACCTGAAAATAAGAGTGCTCTGTCAGCTGGGTGGGGTGAAGAAGCCAGAGCAAATCCTACCTGTGTGGCTGCAGGGATGACTCAGGGCACAGCTCTGGGCCTCTTTCCATCCCACATGAGTAGAACACCAGTGGCATCCAGTGGCCTGTGAGACCAATCACAGGTTGGAATTCTTACCCATATTCAAGCAGGACTCTCCTTTTCCTCCAGGTTGGGTAATGGGCCAGGCTCATTCATGGTGAAGATAAATGGGGTGATTGGCCTGGGGTAGCTTGAATTGCCTGATTTGGTTTCTGAATCAGAGCATGAATGGTGATCAGCAGAGATATCAGCTGGGCAGATAAACTAAGTCGTGCCCTAGTTTGGTGGTTTCTTACAAAACTAAACATACTCTTGCCATACCATTCAGCAATCTCGCTCCTTGGTATTTACCCAAATGAGTTGAAGGTTTATGTCTACACAAAAAACTGCACACAGATGTTTATAGAAGCTTTATTCATAATTGCCAAAACTTGGAAGCAACTGAGATGTCCTTCAGTAGGTGAATGGATAAATAAACTGTAGTACATCCAGACAATGGAATATTATTCAGCACTAAAAAGAAATGAGCTATCCAGCCATGGAGAAACAAAGAGGAATCTTAAATGCTCCTTACTAAATGAAAGAAGCCGGTCTGAAGAGGCTACATACTGTATGATTCCAACTATATGGCATTCTGGAAAAGGCAAAACCATGGAGACAGTAACAGGATCAGTGGTTACCAGGGGTTGGAAGGGAGGAGGGATAAATAGAGTATTTTTAGGGCAGTGAAAGTACTCTGTATGATACCATAATGATGGATACATGTCATTATACTTTTGTCCAAACCCATAGAATGTACAACACCAAGATGAACCCTGATGTAAACTGTGGACTTTGGGTGATAATGATGTGTCAGTGTAGGTTAATCAATTGTAAACAAATGCACTAGTCTGGTGGGGGATGTTGATAATGGGGGAGGCTGTGCATGTGTGGGGCAGGGGCCATTTGAGAATTCTCTATACCTTCCCCTCAATTTTGCTGTGAATCTAAAACTGCCCTTACAAAGAATAGAGTCTTAAAAAAAAAAGCAAAACACTAAGTCATGCCTTTCAATGTTGTCACCATTAGGATTTCTCCAAAGCCCACTGGTGCATTTTGTGAATGGACTCTCTCTTCTTCTATTTTAGAAATAATTACAGAAATTATTGATGTATCAGTGTTCAATAACACCTGTGTGAGGTGGCAAATAAACCCAGGAAGGATAAACTCCAAGATTGTCTATGTGGTAAGTAAAATGATCTACTTTTTCCTGCTAGGGCAGAAATAGTATCCTATGGGAACATGAGTTGGAAGGACTAGCTTCCATAAGAGTTTCTCAATCTAATTGCTTTCCAATTCCATTGTCCTTTTAAAAAATGATCAGAATTTTTAAGATATCTGGATTATTTTATTTTACATTTTGTGTTTAATGTGTTTGTCATTCAACAGGGTGTATGTGTGGGGATGTGTTTATATTTGGCATCATCATTATCGCTTGTTCCCAAGCACTTGTATTTCACTCCCCCAGATCATCGTGCTAGAAGCATCTGCTGACTTGGTGACAGGAAGCAGCGAGTGGTTCTCAGGTTGTGGCTGCCTCCATTCATTGCTGGTCACTTGTGTGCAGGATAGCACTCCCTAGAGGGACTCCTCATTTTATGTCACTTCTTAGGGTTCATTGATTCCTGGGCTGATCAGACTTCGTCATCAGATACCTGATAGCAGAGGTTTACCTTATTTATCTCCCCGAGGTGTGCAGTGCAGTGTGAAAGGGGATAGTAGGAGAACAGGATCCAGCACCACAAAGTCTCTCTCAGTTGTTTTAACCAGGGTCATGGTGGGTTCTCTTGTCTTTTTCCCTCACAAAGATATACATAAAAGGACAACGGTTGGACCCTATGGAGTCAGTTCATGAGAAGACAGTCAACTTGACCACAGACAGCAGGACTCCAGAAGTGTGCCTAGATTTGTACCAAGCCACCAACTATACCATGAGCATTTCCACTGCCCCCCCCAGACGCTCTGTGCCAGCCACCATTGGGTTCCAGACAGCTGGTAGGTGGAGATGAAGGTCTCATTTCCTCTGAGAAAATGCTAAGCACAGGGTGTGGGGTAATGTGCTTCAGAATCAACTGGGCAGGAGAGTTCATAGTTGCTTTCTGACATTTGTAGCCAGGAGAATGTAATTGCTCCAGGGGTCAGAACAGAGCAGGTCTAGTAGGAGAGATTCCTATCTATTGATGCCAGGCTGAATGGGCACTGCTGTATTGTTTCTCAGCTCTGTCCTCTGGTTGAAATAGAAGGTAATAAGAAGGCATTTAAAAGAGGAGAACATTAAGTGATGATGCAATCTATTCTCAATTATCCAAGGCAATAGAAGATTGCCATGTGGCTTATCTTCAGTAAGAAACTAAAAGTTATTTGACTCTTGCCTATAAAAGAGGAGGAACCAGGGAGGCTGACCTAGTAGCTTTATATCTAGGATGCCATTGATGCCATTTATTATTTTGGGGGATTTGAGGTAGTTCTCAACTAGCTCTTTGATGTCCCTCTTAAGAAAATGTACCTCAACTTGCAAGTATTGCTGCCACTAGGAACTGGGAAGTGACAGGGATTTGGCAGAAATAATCAAAAAGTCTGTTATCTTAATATGAAGCCAACTACGAAATTGCACAAATTAGGTCTCAGGATACTTGTATATAAATAAAACAAAATGATTTCATTCTAAGTAAATAATATGTAGGGTAAGATATTGTAAAATTAATGTGGTAACTAATTAAAAAAACTTGTTCGAAATTAATAATCAACTGCTGTGGATTTATTAGGAATACGTCTTCTTCAAAAGATTATCCCAGGACTTCAAACTCATCTGTCACTGTTCAGTCAGAATGACAGCTTGCTCTTCAGTGTCAGCTGTTTTCACTAATATCCAATTACCTCTTCACGTTAATTTCCACTGGGAAAAGCATGGTCTTTGGGGTCAGACAGACCTGGTTTTGCATCTTAACTCTGTGTTGAAGAGTTGGGTGACCGTGGCTGAGTTTTTTTTATCTCCAGACCTCTTTCCTCTGTCTGAAATTTTAAGTGGAATTGGATTACATTCTTAAATTACTCTAGTGAGAACTGGGATTTTTATTGAGTCATTCCAACTGGGAACAAGGTACGTTTCTACATTTTTATGTAGAAAGTTTATGTAAAGTTTTATCTTTTCATTTATGCTCTGTTGTAAAGATTTGTGATGCCCTTCCTCTAGATCCCGCACATTTACCAAGCTGATTTCATTATTAACGTTATGCTAGTTCTCTTAAAATGAATTGAGAAGTTTTCCATATTTTTTGTGCTCTGGAAAAGTTTATATCACTTTGGAATTATTCTCTTCCTTTAAAGTTGGACACATTTGCTCATAAGATCATTTAAGTTTCACCTTTTTTGAGAGATAATTCTTTGATAACCTTGTCAATTTCTTCTGTGATTTTTTTTTTTTTTTTCCCCTTTGGTCCGTTTATGTTTCCCACATTTTCTTGAGTCAATTTTTATAATTATATTTTCCCCAAAAAATGTCCATTTGGTTGAGATTTTAAATATATTGGCAGAATGTCATATGGAATATTTGTTTACAACTCCTCTGGGGTTATGGGTTATATAACCCCAGGTTATTTTGATTCCTAATTTTTTCTCTCTTTCTTTTTAAAAATCAGTTAGCTTAGCTTGGGTTGTCTGTTTTATTACTGTTCTTTTCTCCAAAGGATAAACTCTTGGGTTTTTAAATTGTTTTGCTTTTTTCTATCTTGTTAATTTTTCCCCTTAAGTTGGTTATATTGTTCTATTACTAAATTCTTGAGTTGAATGCATAATTCAACTTATTTCCATTCTTTCCTGTTTTTTTTTTTTGTGTGTGTGTGAGGAAGATCAGCCCTGAGCTAACATCCATGCCAATCCTCCTCTTTTTGCTGAGAAGGACTGGCCCTGGGCTAACATCCGTGCCCATCCTCCTCCACTTTATGTGGGACGCCACCACAACATGTCCTGACAAGTGGTGCGTCGGTGTGTGCCCGGGATCCTAGCCTGGGCCGCCAGCAGCAGAGCGCGCGCACTTAACTGCTATGCTACGGGACCAACCCCCATTCTTTCCTGTTTGATAATAAAAGTCTTTCATGCTTCTTTTTCCCTTCCAGATTTGAGCTTTGGCAGAATTCATTAGGCCTTGATACATGTTCTGTTTATCCTTACTTTCAAGGCATGATATAATTGTTATTCTGATTTTCCCTTTGATTGAAGAATTATTTATGAGTGTGTTAATATAAGTTCTTTTTATCTTTACTTTCAAAACATTATATAATTGCTATTTTAATTTCCCCATTGATTGAAGGATTAATTATAAGTGTGTTATACAAGTGGTAGGTTTTGTTTTTTAACATTTACACTTTGTTTTTAATTTCTAGTCTTATTACACTTTGGTATTCTCTGGAGGGATTTATGACATTTTCTTGGGGCTTATTATTTGGCAAAGTTTTGTGATAATAAGGCAGAGTGCTTGTAGGTAGAGTAAGATCTGGTCTTAAATCAACTCTATTAATAATGTTATTCAGGACTTACGTTTTTTTGTTGTTTTTTGCTTACTTGGATTGCCATTTTTCTCAGTTTCTCTTAGAAATTCTAATTGTTTTGTTTCACACACTTTGATGTTATGATATGTTATGTTCATGACTGATATCTTAATTGTAGATTCTAACTTTCACTAGTAACAAATGGCTCACTTTTTCTTGTTTAATATTTTTTGCCTTGAATTATACTTTGATAGTAATATTGGTTTTCTTGATTCCTTTGTGCTTCTATTTGCATGATATGCCTTTTCCCACTTTTGTTCTTAAAAGCTCTCTAGATAACATTGCTGTAGATGTACTCCGGGAGACAGCCTATATTGCAAACCTTTCTGAGAAAAGTTTTGAGTAGATAAGCAATTTGCATTAGTGTTGGTTGTGATATGATTTTTGTTTCTTCGTTCATTGTTTTATTTTTCGCTTTTTTATGCTACTTTATGTCCATTGTTTTCCATCTTTTTGCTCCACAGATTTCTTTTTCAGTGATTCCGACATTTTGCTTTTATTCTACATTACACATTAAAAACCAAAACAAATCCTATTTGAATCTGTATTTCTCTGATTACCAGTGTTAAGATGGAAATAATGTTAGCTTCTGCCTGAATAAGACACGGAAGTTAGCATTCTGTATTTCTTTTTATTCCTTCCCCTCTTGCTTCTCTTATGTTATTGGTTTAATACAACATTTTATTGCCAGCTTCTTATTTTTCATTATTTTTAGCATGTATTACATCTTTAAAGAATTCATTTTGATATTGATTTATAGCAATGTTTATAACAATTGTTTAAGCAAGTATATGTTTTAATAGTTTCAGTGCTTACTACCAGTCCTTTCATGCTAAAGTTTCTGTATTTTTTCTCTTTTTTTATCTCTCTCTGCACAATGATTTCTGTCTTCTCCTCACTGAGGAATGGAGTACTTTCTGAGCCCATGATTATCTGAGAATGTCTTTTTGTTGCCTTCACAAGTAAATGGGAGCTTGAGCGAAGAAAAAATTCTTGGGCCATACATAACCTTTGTTGTCAGAATTCTGGAGGCGTTTCATATTGGCTTTGGGAATTTAAAGTTTCAAAAGAGGAATTTCAAGAAGGTGTGATTTTTTAAAACAAATGCTATGTAGATAATCTGATTTTTTGGACTGGCTATCATAGAGGCTTTCTTTATGTGTGAAATTCAAGAGTTTAATCATTTATTCATACACATGGTAAATGTTTATTGACCACCTACTATGTGTTTGACACTGTTTTAGGCATTGGGAATTCAATAGTGAATGAGACAGATTTCCCTTCTTTCATGAAACTTCAGTCGTGGGTGGTATAAATGTTAATGTTTTTCACTAAGTTTTCTTTGTACTCTGTGAGTTTTGGATCTTCAGATTTCAGTTTATCTACATTAGGAACATTTTCTTTCACTGAATCTCTGATTGTGGCTTTTTTTTTTTTTTGACCCTTGAAATGCTCCTATGTGGAATTTCTTGTCTGTCTGCATTGGTCTGCCATTTTCTTCTTTTTTATATCCATGTCTTTTTCCTCTGCCTTCTGGGAGTATGTAGCAAGTTTGTTCTTTATACTCATTTATGCATACGTGCATTGACATTTCTGATCTTTACTATTTTAATGCACTTTCAATTCTGTTGTTGCACATTCATTTCCTTTTGTTTTTTGCCTCATCTACTTCCCTTTTTATTTCTGCTTCTCTCAACCAGTTTCCTCTCCGCAATTGCATTCTCTTATTATCTCACCCTTTATCTGTTTGAACCCATCTTTAAAATTTTTTACTGAAAGTACAAACAGATGTTGCCTAATTTTACCATACTTTGCTCAATATTTTTTTTCAAAAGTGTGTTCATTCTTTGCCTCCTAAGCATGGTCTCCTTCTTCTTTGTAGAATCATTTCGTAGCTTTTTTTTTTTGCTTCTAGATCACTTGTCCTTGGAAGATAAAAGTTTTATCTAGGTCTGACATTTCCCTCATAATAAAATGGATGGTATTCCCTTTGATCTTGCTTTTTATTGGATAATGTTAGTGTGCTTATTTCAGATCTCATCTTGAAGGATTTACCGCTGGTCGGATGATCCAGCATCCTTTGGGGAGCAGCTGTGAGAAAGCCCACTGCTCTGAGCTTTATTCCTGAGCACTGTGCTATCTGGATTGGTGAAGTTGTTGCTCTTGGGCCAGCTCATTGTTGCCTGGCGTCATTATGGTGCTATAGCCTAGAGAGGCAGGAAAGAACCAAGTGCCTCCTTCTGCCAACCCAGGCTCTCTGTCAGGTGGAACCTCCAGGTCTCTTGGCCTCCCCTTAGAAGTCCTTGCCTGTGACTGATCTCCAGTGTGCTAACGGAGGGCTATTATTAGTAGTAGTAGGAGTAGTAGTAATAGGAGTGTATCTCCCCTGGCTGCCTTTCAGAATTGCCTGGTGAATTAAAAAAAAAAAAATACAGATGTCCTAGCTTTACTTCAGATCTGCCGTGTCTGAGTGATTCTGATATATAGTTAGGATTGGGAACCACTGAACTAAACGGCTCCAGATGGAACATTCATCACTTGTTTGCCTTGTGGCCTGTCCATGCCTCCAGCCCCCACCACTGTGGGCACCAGTCCTCCTCCGGTTCCTTCCTTTGAGGCTTTGAGACTGTGCTCTTTTGCTTGGAAGGCATGTTGCACAGAAGCCCTCAGTGTCTTTCTTTCTCCTAGTCTCTTCCACACTGTGCTTAGCAGAAACATCTTCATGTTTTTGCCTTGTGTATGGCAACCAACCCTCCTTTCCAACCCAGATGCAAATTTTGACCCATTTTTACTATTCTCAGTCACTTCTGTCAGGATTGCGGGTGGGAAGTGGGAGCCAGATGCTTTTGTTCACGTTACCATCTTCTCCTGAATTCAGACTATAATGGCTATAAGTGGGAAAATCATATTGAGATGGGAACTATGCAGATAGTACTTCTGCTGTGTGTTCTGTTTCCGTACGGACATATACATGTATATATGTACGTGGTTTTTCTTACATTTATACATTTGCCTCAAAATCGTATGCATACGTGTGGCAATTTTTGTATCTGATGTCCTTATGAAGTATTTAAAATAAAAGTTGTGAAGATAAAGGAGAGCACTTGTGATAGGTCTTCAAATTCTCTCTCATAAGCATATTTTTATATTTTCCAATTATAGCCAAGAATATTTTCTCCCAGCTAATTGCCTTGTGCTGCATATGTCAGTGATATTGAAAATGCTGTGGACAATTCTGATTTTGAATAGAATAATTTATTGTTATCATTATTTCTTCTTAGCTAGCAGAGACTCCCGTGGGAGAAATACACATAAAAGGTAGTTAGAAAAAGCTTCTCTCTGATAGACATTTAAACTTTTTCTCATTTGTAGAAAATGTAAAGGCTTGTTTGTTAGGAAATTTGCTTTTCCTTGGAAATTAGCCATGGTACTCCTGGACTTTCTGTGAGTTCTTTACTCATCAGTAATAAACCTTTTCTTTTTGATTACATTAAGAAAATAGACCACTGAAGAAATGAATTTGACTGAAGAGGCATGAAATGACTTTTTTTAATACAGTGGTTGGAATAAGTCTGCTCTCTGATTATTTTACTGCCTCAGTACTCACCTGAGTAGCTTTTGAAATGCTGTCTACTGTGAGAACAAACATCTTGCCTAGTCATCTATTTTCTGGTCATCTTCTAGGTTGGAAACACCTGCTCTGAGAGTTCTAATCCATGGTGTTTGACTTTTCTTAACCTCTTTCTTTATTCTTAGACTTTCTGGCTATTGATATGCTTACCTTCATGACATTTTACTTAGGTAGTGTTCAAGTGATAGGATTAACTTTCTAAAAATATCACAGCTTTATTAGTTTATAGTGATTTTTAAATATGCATGATTTCATTTGATTCTCTCAATAACCTGTGATGTAAGAAAAGCAAACTGGATTACTTGATTTCATAAGTAAGGAAACTGAGGTTCAGAGGGGTTAAGTGACTTAGCTAAGGTCGTGCAATTCAGAAGTTGTAGAGCCAGGACTTGAAGCCAAATGTAATGATCTTGCTGTTAATCACCCTGTTGGCTCTCTTAAGATGTCAGAGTTTCAATTGTACTTGGCCATGATATGTTTTGGTAAGATGATGCAACCTTTCCATATGTTTTCTCTTACCTTTTAGAAGATGATCTCCTAGAAGATGATGGAATTTTCAATATTTCAATATTTAATGAAGCTTGTTTGAAATTGAACAGGCGTTCTAGGAAAGTTGGATCAGAACGAACGTACCAAGTAAGCTCTCTTATGCTATCCGTCAAAGAATTGTGTCACTTAAACTTTTGGGTATTCTCCAAGTGAGGATCCAAAGTTTTTAAAAACACTAACACAATGAACTTCTAGACAGTCTGATTTTTGTTTCTAGAGATGGATGTGAGATGTGAGATGGATGCAAGTGAGGGACTAAATTGAAGCAGGACGCTATATTTGGTGACTTGCTGTCATTTTCCTTTGGTATTTCACATGTGTTATATTTTATGTTACAGCTTATTTTGTCATCAAATTCCCTGTTGAATGTGGATTTTTAAGAAACTCCTTGCATGACTATTGGTCCTCGTTTAACTTGACTTTTTAAAAATCACAAATCTCAAGTAAAATTATAAGTAAATTCAGGGAGGAACTGAGATTTGTTATTTTTATGTCATTTTTAGTGCCTAGCAAATCATCTGGCAGAGTAGACTAAGTATTAAATTCAAATTCATTCATTCATTCCTTAACCATTTACCAAAAGAAAGTCATGTATTAGGACCTGGAATTTTCAATTCAAACTAATATAAATATATAAGTAAACAGACAACTGCAATATGGTATAATAAGTGCTTTGATAAAAAGTGAATCAATGGAAAGGGAAATTGTGTGTTTGTGTGTGTGTATGTCCAGGTACAATTTTTTTTTTTTTTAACAAGAAGCAAAGACTATGCTGAATCATAGAGAATGAGTAGGAATTAACCAGATAAAAGATGTGAGGTGTGGGTGAAGAAGGGCATTGTGGGCAAGTAGAGGAGCATGTTGGATAATAGAGAACGTGGCTCTCTTGGGGAACAGAGAAAACAAGGGAGAACAGGAAGAGATGAGGCAAAAATCTAAGCAGTGGGCAGATCACGAAAAGCCCTGTATCCTGTAATTTTGAGTTTGGATCTTATTTTGATGTCTATGTGAAGCCACTGAAGGATTTTAAGGAGGTGAGTGAAATATTCAAATCTTCACATTAGAAAGAACACAGGGGCTAGAAACATATTCAAGTACCCAAGTAATTTAATATAAGATACAGAGGATTTTTTTCAAATGAGTACAGAAATAAATGGTTCTGGGACAATTGGTTAGCTACTTGGTTAAGAAAAAATCTTACACTAAAATGATACAAGAGTTAAATTGAAAAAAGTTACTATTTTTTAATATGTTAGACAAAGATTAATTGAAGTAACATGTGAAACACTCTCAACAAATTTGTTCTTAACAAATTCATTGGAAAAAAGTGAACATTCAAAGGCAGCTTGCAAAAGAGAATGTACATATTGCCAAAACACACATGAACACATTATGCCTCACTAGAGAGAAAAAAAAAATTAAACCATGAGATACTATGATTCTTGTATAAACTTGGGGAGAACACTATTACACACAGTACATCTATCAAAGTTGTATCTATCAACAACTTTTAGAAGTGTACTGTAATTAATTATTCAGATGTAAACAGAAAGATTAAGCTGTTCTCTGAAGCTGTATTTGTAGTAGGGGAAATTGGAAACTACTCAAATGTCCATCAATAGAGATTTGGTTAAATAAATAATCATGCATTCATCTGATTGAACACAATGCAGACACAAAATACGTTCGCTTCACACTGGACGGCATTTGCTGCTGTTGACCAAATATTCCTGGAGAATACTACTGAAATAGTGTCTTTTTCTCCTGTGGGTTTGACCCCTCTCCGTCTCCTTCACAAGATTCCCTTCCTCTGCCTTTCCCTTCCGTTTGATTACCCTCAAGGTTGTACCTTCCCTGTTCTCTTGCCATTCTGTACCCCTCTTTGGGCTGTCTTACCCAATCTCTTGACTTCCTTAAGTATCTCCATGCTCAAGACTCCTAAATCTGTTTCTTCAGGCCGTAATCTATTCTATAAGCTCTAAGCCCTGTACTCCTTGACTAGCTTCTTGTGCTTTCTTTCGCATTGTGTCTTCACATATGTGACCCTCCTACCTGCAGTGTTCTTCCCTTCCTTACTCTACCTGGCTAACTCATGCTTATTCTTCAAAGCTCAGCTCAGTCATCTCCCCTGGTGGAAGGTCTTCATTGACCTCCTGCCCCAAACGCTGTTCCTGCTACCTGAATGGTTTTTCCTGCCCTGACCTTTCATATCCCCAACTCACCTAGTCAATGCTAATTTCTTCTTCACTTCACAATTAAGATAGGGAAGCCTTCCTTGAGCCCTAGAGAGGAGGGTCAGGCGTCCCTCCTGAGTGCTCCTATAGCCTCATGTATTATAACACTTATCCCTGGGTATTTTATTTGCCTAGATACTTATCTGTGAGTTCCTTGAGGTTAGGACCTGTATCTTATTTGCCATTTGTACACAGCACTGTATACTCTGGTTGGCAAATAATAGCCACTCTATCTATTTACAGAGTGAATTAATGATAGAGAAAACTTTATAGTATATTTTAAATAGAAAGATTGTCTTATAAAATCATGCATACACCATGATTCAAAGTTTGTAACTAGAAAGTAATTTTCTTGTTTATAGACTAAACTACATGGAGTTTAGGATGAGACTGACTTAGTAGAAATGCAACCTACATAGTTGTGAGGTTTTCTCTAGCAGATGGCAGCAACCTGAATGTAGAAGTGGTGAGGTCAAACATCTGGATTGACTCCGTGTTTTGAGTTTTCTAGAATGGGTGGAATTGAGAACAAAGGGGCAAGGGTGTTGAGGATATTGGGCAAGAGAAAAATGAAGTGATAGACAATGGTATCTGGGAAGACAAGGTTGGGGGTGGTAGAATATTAGTAGAAAATCTTGAGTGAGGAAGTCTTGGGGGGGCTTCTTGAGAGAGATCAGGCATAGTGGGAGTGAGTGGTCCAGAAGATAGGGGATTACGAGATCTTGGTGGAGCAGCACTGAGGATGACACAGTCTAGGATGTGGCTATGGATATGAGTAGCTAAAGTGGAGTGGAGGAACTTCGTAGCACTGAGCTCAAGAAACTCTGAGGCCAAGTTTCTATGGCTTATCTCGGACCTTTAAGTTACCCAAGAGAATGCTAGGAATTGGAGGAGAGAGGAATATCCCAATGAGCTGGGTGTCAGGGTCTTGGATGACTGTGAAAGAATGACAGTGATGAGGATGACGAGGAGGGATTGAGGGTGGTATAGCCAATGACATGAGCATCAAAGGAAACACTGAACAAATGGACATCCAGCTGAAGCACTGACTGATCAAGAACTGATCATATTACTTCTGGGACTTTCACATATTTTCCCCTTATGAATCCCTATGTTATACATGCATCTTGAGTTGGCAATGGATGGAGTATTATTGGGTTAACAGCATGTGTGATGACTCCATGGACCAAAAACTCTTTTACCAGAGCTCTAATAGGAAGGATCAAGCGAATACCATTGTGCAGTTGCTTTGGATGCATAATTTGGAGTAGTCCTCATAAAGTTTAAAAACTCTGTCCTATGAGGCTTTATAAATTCCTTATGAATGAAAAGAAAAGAATTTTGCCCAATATCTTCAGTGCAATCTCTTTCACCTGGGTGGACATCAAGGGATTATCTTAAAATAGTCTGACGTTTTGTTCTTCTGAGATGTCATTATGCATTGTAAGCTTAGTCCTGTAGCTGGTTCAGGGGGAAGTTGAATAGGATAGGCAGGGTAGCTTTGGAAAGTCGTTCCCCAGTTTAGCTTTTTATTGTATTAAAAATAATTCTTGGTGGGTGAGGTCAAATAGAAGGAACCTTCTTGCCTAATCTCCATTTTGCTTATAGTCTAGACATCTGCAAGCCAACAGAAAATTTAATGCAACACTTTCTTTTAATCCCATGACAGTTTAAAGTTCTGGGTCAAAGGTGGTATCTGAATAATTTTTATCACGTAACATCATTTAACTTCACGACGAGGGAAAGAACTCCAGTAGTGTGTTTAGATCTGTACCCAGCAACTGATTACACCGTGAATATCACCCTATTGGGATCTGCAGAGCAGCACTCAGTGCAAATGACGATAACCACCGCACCAGCAGGTAGGTGTCGATGTCTCTCAGGACAAGTTAAATATGTGAATTGAACTGTACAATGCAGGGGAGCATAAAGAATGCTAGTCTGGGAGTCAAGAAACTTGAGTTCTAGTTCTAACAAACTACCAACTTTGGGGTTCAGGGTTCCCGAATCTTACTACCTCTCCCCTTCCCCACAGGAGTGCCAGCTCATAGAGGGTACAGACCAAGAGAAGACTGCTTTACTCAGGGTTCCCTGGTAGTGATAGATTGACAATACTGTAAGGCCTCCTACCTTTCACCCCAAATTTAAGACAGCTGAGCCCTAAGGGTAGTCATTATGGACAACTAGAACCAACTTCTGGGGACATCAGAAATGTGAACCTCAGCATGTGGGGCGCTGGTAGGACAAAGAGGCCTCGAGAGTGGGCCATGTATGAGCACATGACCCAGTCTAGAGAACAGTGGTCTAATGAAGGTCGGGTTTTTTAGAAAGGGCTTGTGGCCTTGTGAGGAAGCCATATAGAGGCCAGCAGTATCAATTCCACAGCTCTCCCTTGTGGAAAGGGACACAGAAGCTTTTTTTTTTTTTTTAATTTTAATTTTAATTTTAATTTTTTTGTGAGGAAAATCAGCCCTGAGCTAACATCCATGCCAATCCTCCTGTTTTTGCTAAGGGAGACCGGCCCTGAGCTAACATCTTGGCCGATCTTCCTCCACTTTATATGGAATGCCGCCCCAGCGTGGCCTGACAAGTGGTGCGTCGGTGCGCGCCCGGGATCCGAACCCGGGCCGCCAGCAGCCGAGTGTGCGCACTTAACCACTACGCCACGGGGCCAGCCCCTAATCCATTGGGTTTAACAGACAAATTTATGGGCAACCAGGCAGAGAGGCCGCCCCCTTTGAAGGAAAACAGTAGAATGGGGTAGGTCCTGCTCCTGCTTTCCTGAGACCTCTCTCCCATGTGCACCACTGCTCTTTGTGGGTCAGAGGTGGGCACTTTGGCCTTTGTACTTGGAAGACTCTGAAATATGTTAGATCCTAATGGGGCCATCTGGCACTTGAGGCTGAAAATTCACTTCTTATTCTATTTTCCGTCTCACATTACGCCTTGTCCTATATGTATCAGCAGAGGTTGCACATGAACACCCCATGACGGCATAAACTTAACACCAAAATACATTTCCAGCTACAGAAAATGCTCACAATTTGAATATGAATTCCCTACAATTATTAAATTCTCAGAGAAATTAAAGTCTAAAAATAAAATCCACCTCCCCTTGTAAATTAAACTACAAAGGCATTCAAGTCCCAGCTTCTTTCCTTCCCATTGTCTTCTCTGCTTGGCCTCAGCCGGAGTGGTCCCTCTGAAATGGAGAGTGGTTCTAGCTGTTGCGTCCTAGAAATCTTGTTACGTAGTAGCTATTCTTCCTTTGGTACCTCCAAAGTTGAATTCATCTTATTCCAAGTTTCATTTTCCTATTTCTCAATATGAGTCCTAGGGATACAGAACTTACAAAAGAAAAATTATTGTTGGTTGCTCAACGTTGCAAATGTCACTGAATTGTACACTTTAAAGCAATTAATTTAATTTTTTTATTTTTATTTTTTTAAGAAGATATAGGCTTATTATTTTTTTTTTTATAATTTTATTTATTTATTTATTTTTTCCCCCAAAGCCCCAGTAGATAGTTGTATGTCATAGCTGCACATCCTTCTAGTTGCTGTATGTGGGACG